TTCTCATTTACATTTATATTATACTATTTCAGAGCTTACCCAAAGACAAGTAATTTTTAAATGTCGACATGCCTTGGTTTGCGTGCGAGTTAGTTTAAATCGGGCAGAAAACATCATATATTGGCAAAATGTTTAGTAATGTCATGTACTTTCAGCATTCATAAATAGCACTCTTTGATATCCTGAACGCTGATATCCTAAAAATTAATGTTGAAAGAGAATTACGTATTCTCAGATATCGGACATCCAGTCGCGTTATTCAATCGTTCATATGCACAAATCTCACATTAATAGTAATTGCTACCCAAGTTTGTAAAGTTTAGAAACCAACAAACAGAAAATAACTTATCCTAAAACACAATTAAAATTCAGTCGGCAATAAATTCGTCGCCAAGACGATGCCATACAAAACAAAAAAGATTTGGTCGCGAGAGTTACGTGAGATGACTGCCGTTGTTTAAAAATTATAATTAATAAACGGGAGTTACGACGCCCTTTACACATCGTGTGTATTAAACTTCCCTGGTAAGTACTATTATCATTGTACCTATACACCTGTTGGAGTATTTCGGACAGTTTCGAATTTAAAATAAATGAAAACCCGACATATAATAAAGACGCAAAAGTAAAATGAACATTTATTGAAAAAGTTATTATTTAAGAAAGACAACATGATCGTACAATTTCGCCAAAACCTCGATGTTCGCATGAGATGATAAATAAATACTTCCCTGTATTCGATCAATTAATTTGAGCGTATCGTTGTTCTGCCAACAAACAGCCGGGTGCAAAATATTTCCGTCCTGTGATATGCTCACAAATATTCTCGATATTAATATCATACCCTCGCGTATGTACTTTCTATTAGCTTTTTAGGAATCCCTTCCATCCTTGGCCAGGTCATGTTTCGAATATGTGAACATTTTATTCGACCATACATGGCCGGCGGGATGTTAAAATTGTAAACAAGAGAGAGGTAAAATCAATCGCGAATTTCGTTATAACGGTTCGTTTACGAATTGTTGCGCCTGTTATCGTCGAAAATGATTACATTTGTTGTATTTTGAGGCATTTAAGCAGTAATAATTACGGCATGACATCATCAAAATCGTCAAGTGAGATCTTGAAATTGCAATTCCCTAAATTAAATTGTGAATTATTCGGTAACGAATTCAGCTTTAATGACCGTCGGGGCTTTGTTTTGTTGAAAATTATTATTAATGTGAGAGCGCCAAAAAACATACAGTCCATACCGATGCGACTGCAATTTATATGGTCGCAATTGGTGTGGTGCGTTTATTAATAGTGTAAAATAAATTAAACGAATATCAATTATAACCAAGCCCGTTAGCGTGTTTATTTTCTGTGGGCAGGAATCGTGAAATACCATCTTGAGACAAATTCACTTCTATTATAAAACCTTAATTTTCAGTTATTATCGTTATACAAATAACGTGTGGCAACTTTTTAATTTATCGTCGACCAAAAAACCACCCACACTCGTCCAAACGTGTGTTGAGCTTGAACGACAGGAACAGATTCATCGACGATCTTAATTAGGGAAATTATGTATTTTATTGGGAATGCAAAATAAATGTACCAAAACGCGCATTTTTTTGTGATATAACTTTGTATTTTCGGAAACGGGTTGCCGCGAAAGGTAAAATTTGATCTAAATTAATCGCAAATATGTTTTATTTTAAATGTAACAAAACACATTTTGCGATATAACCTTGTATTTTTGAAAACGGGTGTCCTGAAAAGTAAATTATGATCTAAATTAATCGCAAAAATGTTTTATTTTAAATGTAACAAAACACATTTTCGCCATATAACCTTGTATTTTCGGAAACGGGTGTCGTGAAAAGTAAAATATGATCTAAATTAATCCCAAAAATGTTTTATTTTAAATGTAACAAAACACATTTTTCGAGATACAACTGTATTTTCGGATACCGGGTGTAATTTTTTACGATATAACTTTGTATTTTCGAAAACGGGGCGTCACGAAAATTATTAATCTAATGTTTTATCTATCGTCTAACTAACGTCTGGAACATCATTTTCGGGGAGAACTCTAGACGGCGAAACGTCATTTAATTCAAAATAGAGAATGTTTCACGCATTTTAAAACGGAAAATCACCAGTAAGTGGACAGGGATTCAACCCTCCCGATTCAGTATTCTATATCCCCCGTGTCAGAACTTTCTAAAGAATGGAACAAAGAACCGCCGTCAAACCGCCGCGGAAGAAGGGGAGTATTTTTTGCACTAATAATTAGGGCGTGACAATATCAAAATCGTCAAGAAACTGGTGAATTTGCAAGATCCATAAATAAAATTGTGAATTGCTCGGTAATATTTCAGCTATAATTATCGCCGGGGTATTGTTTTGTTGAAAACACGTTGAAACTTGAGGGAATTAGTTACAATTAGCGCCTGACCTCTATTAGGCACTCGAGCACTCGAAAAAAAAAGCACTCGAGCCCAATTTTTTTAGCATTAAGTCGCATACGTAAAATATCCTGTAAAAGAAGTGCTGTTCATTGACGTCATCTCGTCTTATGACCACGCAGAAATGCCTTCATAGCCGAATTATTCAATCACTATTTCAAATCAACATTCAGGATTGGCACAATTTCAGATTTGCGAAGTTTATCACCATAGAAATACATGAAAGGTAATTATCGTCTTAATAAATATCTGCATCACGGTATGGACAATAATATTACCATTCGCATAAAATTGGGACCGGTAAATTTACAAATCTTGATAGGTAATATTAAAGCCAACGCAAATGTTAATTTGAGTCCTCAATGTTTGGGACCGGTAAATTTACAAATCTTGATAGGTAATATTGAAGCCAACGCAAATGTTAATTTGAGTCCTCAATGTCTTCAACAGCTGTTGCCGATGTGAACCAACAGGTAAACCCGAAATATAAAACTTCGATGTCCGCCGACCCACAAGAATTCATATTTGTAAAAAAGAGAGGGCGGGAATATAGATTACCCAAAACCTAGATATCGCCGCCAAAACGATCGGTGACAAGAACAATTAGCGATTATAACGGAATTAACCAGTAAAAAGGCTTTGTTGCCGATTTTTTAATGTTTCCACCACGTTTATTCGGTACTCCTATAAATATTCGATTCAAAAAATATTGAATTTTGCCCACCCGTCCTCGCATATCAATGAGAAATAGTTGTAAATATCGCAAAATTCCGGAAAATGCCACGTCCTTTCAACATTGTGATTACAATAAAATGGCACTTAATGGTATTTTGTGAATTTGTTGATTTTGCAAATCTGTGACATGCTGCTAAAAGTTTCGTCTGATTTGAAAATCGTGCAGTTTGGTCACAATTCATCCAAAGTGACTATAACACGTTACTAACACTTTTATAGTCATTTTGAATTCATCGATATCATTGATAGTCACATGACCACTCTCCTTCAAAGAAACGCCCGGGGAGCGTTTTTTGCGGGAGAAGCGGAATCGGTGTGCTTGTATAATAATCATATTATAAACAAGAATTTTGCTGTTAATGCAAAAGCTTTATCTCCTATGTCTGCATCTCATAGGTTAGAATTCCGGTAAATATCGTTATGATATGCAGAATTGAGTTACAAAAGTACTAGTATGTTACTCATTTGTCAACTTAATACTCGAAAATATTTGTTAACTTTGAATTTTTATTCCATTCAAAATCGGAAAAAGTGCTATTTCTGTTCAAAATCGTAAAAAAGTGCTATTTCGCAGTCCCTAAAAAAAGTTGCGAAAGTGCTTCGCAATTTTCGCAAAAAAGTGCGCTAATAGTGAACACTGTAACGAACTTGTAGTTAGTTTGAACATTCTCCCCTCATACCCATGTAAAAAAAAACATTGTCTCCGATTAGTACTATAGTCCATATACTGTAGAAGTGTACATACAGGTTTCCATTTATCAACAAATTGGTAGAAATGTTTATTCGAGAATTTCCATTTGGTAATTCCTTTTCGATATCTTGTTTCCTGATGATGTTGAATTATTACAGGTGTCAATCTGTGCAAATTACTGGCATATCTGTCGCAAAATTAACTTATATATAACTTATAGTTCGTTAGTGGGTGCGTATTAGTTGACAGTACTTTTTAACTATTTGGTGTGCGAGATTGAAACCTTGTATAAAATGTTAAATGACTGTACGTATTGGTGTTCACTGTATGATGTGATTATGAGATGGACATTGATACGCCTTAATTTAGAAGCAGATCAATACACTAAACGTAAACGTCCTCTTCAACAATCTCCGACGTATTCCACGCTTATAAAAGTTCCGGAAAGGTTGACAAGAATGGCTGTAATGCTGCATAGAAAGCCTTAATGAAATGCTCAACTACATTTCAGTATATAGCCCAACAGGTTAATGAACTAGTTTAAACTAAATCCCCAAGAACTATAGTTAGATGAATTTCGAATTTTCTTGCCAATGGTAAATTTAAAATTTCTATTACATTTCCTATCTTGGCAAATCAACGCATATACTATACATCTAGTAAATGTAGAATTATGTAATTTATTTTTAATTACTTACAGCCTGATGACCTCCACAATTATAAAACAAAGCGTAATTGAGTAATAAATACAAGATGGTGTGCTCTGGCCTAAAACGAAAGCGTTACCGAACTTACTATCAAAGATAGTAATAAAACTTTTAAAGCAGAAATTTCATAAAAAATTATGAATCTTCATAGTGACGGCACAGAGACGACCATCCGTTTATTTATTCTGTGAAATATATTTGCTCATTTATTAGGCTTTAAAGTCTTCAAAGTCGTTTTTACCTCGATTTTATGCAAGATTTTTATCAGCTCTTTAGAGGACTACCGGGTATATATTTCAGCATCAAAAAAACATATTTTTAGTGCATTTCAGCATCCAGTAGCATTCAACATATCGTGGACTTACTTTTTCAATACTTAATGCATTTTTATGAACAATCACTTTTTATTCGCAGGGGAACCCCAACAAAAACAAACGGCGTTCGAAGTAATTCCCGTGTAGGCCCTGGAAACCATCGACACAACGGAGACGAAAATGCATATGACGAAAGGAAAAATTCGTCTCAGTCCAGCAGCTCGACACTATCAGCTTACGGTAACGATAAAGTGTTCAACGCTAGCCACCAAAGGGTGCTGCGGAGCGGTTGGTTGAAGAAACAAGGGGGCATGATCAAAACATGGAACGAAAGATGGTTCGTGTTGCGCGGAGATGTTCTTTTCTACTACAAAGATAAAGAAGAAAACAAATTGCTGGTAAGATGTTATTGCTTTGTTATAATTTTTGTCCAGTTTTATTCGAGTACTTTTCTCTGTGTGGAATCGTCTCATGGTGTATAGGTAATACAATAATTTATTAATTAATAAAAAACTGTAGAGTTGAAATACTGTTTTTGGGTACGATTTTTGTTATTCTCTTCACTGGCTGTTCTGAGTACATTCAAGAGTTGGAGTCATTCTGTACCTTCTGTACCTGGAACAACGGGATAGCTATTCCCTTAACATCCCGACCAGCCTTTTAATTAAATTTCAAAGAAAGAAATTTTTGTCATAGCCTATGTTAATTTCAGGGAACGATTACACTCCGAGGAAACGAAGTAGTAGATCATCCGAACAAAATGAACGAACCAAATAAATATTTTTTCGAGATTATTCCAGGTTAGATATTTTCTATTTTCTCTACATGATAGTTGCTTTATATGATGTATCCTTTTATGGATACATTATCTGTTTTACGATTATGTACATGAAAATAGGATTGCACAGTATCATTTCAATCTGAGGGTGGGAAAAGGAACGAAATACTCAAAAACGATGCAATGTATGGGGCAGTCTATTGGTTACTAGTAAAGTTCAAGGCTAGGTAATATTGTAATACTCCTGGAGTAAAGGTTGACAACGAAGTTAGCGAATTGTTTGAAACTGTTTTAAGTCATGGATGACTATTCTACGTAGTTCGAAGAATATTGGGAACGAATATCAGAAAATACAACAATGAGAGTTTTAAAACGTAAATTACTTGTAAAAAATCACTGATGGTCAGCACAATCTCCACGCCTCGGTTCCACATTGGTAAAGCAAGCACTGTAATACAGTTGATAAAAGTATATTAAGTTACAGTTTTATTGACTAGGCGTTGAAAGCATTGAATACGTCTGAATATTTTTTGTTAATGTGATATATAGAAATGTAAACGTACACAAAATTAAGTATCTCCGACACGGGATATAGGGGAGATAGCCAAATATGTGGAAAATTCAATGGATGCCCAAAAATATGTTTTCTGTTTATTAAAAGAAATAGACTGATCAAACGATTCAACATTGATATCGAACAATCGGGATGCTGTTTTATGCAGAGGCTTCAGATAAGCAGGCGCTTCGCTTTTTGTTTTTTAAAAGGCCTTTGTTTTGCTTGGTTCCGTATTACATACCGCATTTCTTTACTCACTAATCGCGGAGCTGAGACTGGGCCAGATATATCTAACCTGCGTCACCAACTGGCCAAGTACGAAGCGCTAACCACTGGCACATTGTTTTTTGCTTATTGCTATGAATGAAAAAAGTTATTCGTCTAGTCAAAAATTGGCCTTAATTTATATCCTTTTGAATGAAATGCGAGAGATCGACTAATATTAGTCAAGTCGCGACCTGATCGTATTATCAATAATGACTCTATCAAGATTATCTCCCGATAATACGGGTACAGTATTGTGAGTCACTCTTCGAGGGGGCAAAACGATCGCTACGATTTTTCAATATGATGGACTTCAAGTGCTTTGGTATAACTTTAAAATTATCTAAGGCTCGTTAAAGGTAGACTATTAAGACTGGTCATACCTTCATTACTCGCTCTTGTTCCTCGCCTTTAAGTATGAGTATCATGGCCATTTGAAACAATTTGATCGAACAATTATTTTTACGGTAAAACCAAACTTAGGAAGGTCATTTACGTACTATACCAACAAACTATATATATAAACATAAAGATCAATGGCTCAAACATAAAATTCGTGCAAACAATTTTCTCACAAACGGCTATTACTGACTTCAAGGTTCATTTCTTTCTATACAGTTTCTAAAGTGAACTCCTTGCACTGTAGCTGTTATTGGTCATGAATGATATAGACATACCAATGCTAATATTGAATACCCTTCAGGTTGTCATCGATTGTAGATTGTATTGTATTATTTTGATAGACTAGACTTGTCAGTAGCTTATCATAATAAAAAGGGTAATAAATCACCCATACGCGTTTTCTTAGTTTACTCGCACGCGTTTATTGCACATGAGTCATATTTCAACGTTTATATTGCCTTCTTTGTTTGGCTTTGTAGCGTCACAGACCGGCTTACCTCAGGACAATTTAGATATCAATTTATTTTTATTTAATATAAAATAAGTCAAACAAGCTTAAGAAGGCAGCTTTTATTTTCCGTAGACTTAAAGAGGGTGTTGCCCGGTCACAAATTACACAACGGTCGTCTGCGACGAAAATGACTCATTTACAATGTACGATCGTTCTATCATGGTACATCGATAAAAATCCTTCGATTTGTTGAGTCGATGGCCGGCATTAGTACTTGATGAACGTTAAAAACTTTATAATCTCTGAGCAAATACACATTAGGCCACGCAAGCTCAAGAAAATACACCTCGAAAACATTCAGATAATGATATCCTATAGTGAATTGTCGTAGCACCTTTTTGCACAAAGCGGCAATTTACTTGCAACAATACTTGATTAAATTTTAAGTCATTTCTCATTTGACAGTTTCGTAAATACAAACATACATGCTTTGACAAGCCTAAACCGACTATGTCTCTCTTTAGACCGTGATTGACGATCTACGGCTTTACTGGGGCATGAGCCTGTCAGAAATACTCCATGCTATGTCTGAAAGCATGTATCGCTGGGGTTTTTCTCAAGTGATTTATTTACGGACTGCTTTAAATTTCGTGAATTACTAAGTTATCTGCGACCGTTTGGTTATTAATTTTTTTGCGATGTAATGCTTTATAACAAAGAAAAATTAAAAAAAAAAAGATTGCAGAAAATACTTTGCAAAATCGTATTGATTGTTTTTGTTTCAAGTGGAAAGAAACTCACTCTCAATTTGGTTTAATTCTGGACAGAAATAGGGAAATTACTAATCTTGCAGATTAAAGAATTAACATCCTATAATTAGGTAGGAATGTCATTTGCAGCTTTATATTCTCCATCAATATTGGTGATCGAGGATTTTGTGATTTTGTGATTGACAATCTCACACGAAGAAGAAATAAAAAAGAACGTTTACTTTTATCTGAAACACACGAAACTTAGTTTACATTTGTGTGATTTATTTGGTTTTCTATACATTTAGGAATATATGACTGCATAGAATACCATTTTTTAATTTGTGTTGTGGTAGCATTCAGTCAAAAATATGGACAGATGAGTTTGTACATATGATACCACTGTAACAAAGTCTTGTTTTGACTGATCTTGGTACGCCCCGCCTGTTTGTGGCCTGCGTAGATTTAGGTTCGGTTAAATATCCCGCTCGATTCTTGTTTCAAAAAACGCTTTCTTTAACCTTGTCTCGGCTTTATCAAAGTTTCCAATACGTGAGTCATGTTTATGGATCGTTCCAGGTGGATTGATCTTCAATCTCGCCTAAATGTTCGAGTTTCCTGATTCTTCACTCCGCTATATCTGCCATGATGCTGTTACCAAAAGTAAAACGTAACCATTAAATGTAATGAATGAATATGATAAGATAGATATAACAATAATTTGGACGCCCATTAGCGTGAACAATTTGATAAATATTAAGAATTAATAGCAAATAATTGACCGAATAACGAGATATTCGAATTATCCAATTATTTGAAAACAAAACTCAGTGTTATACTGTGCATCATACAATTATGTAATACATTTCATGACTCTTGTAAGTATGTAATTAACAGTTACAAAAAGGTTTGGGGAAATTTGTATTCATGATTTGGATATCGGTGGACGGGCCGCGCTTTTGTCCGGACGAGAGAAAGCACGTTTGATATATATCAATATCACAATTGATAGGTATCAATAAGTCTTAAATGCACCAATATCATAATCGTATTTTTTGACTATTTGCTGTGAACGTAAACTTGATGTTTTGCTGCACAGCATCCGATACCGTGCTATTGTACGCCATGGAGTCGGCGTTTCTCTACATTATTTCTTTGCACAGACATCATAAAAATAAATGGTGCGTTCTCAGGTAGCTGAGGCAGAAAATCGGTAATAAGTATAACTCATAACGTGTACTTTCAGAGAAATATCCATACCTCCCACTCCACTTACAAAAAAAGCTTTGCAATTACGTATTATTTTGAAAGCAAAATAAAACAATAATGCCCTCATATGCATTCTTATTCATGAATGGAATGTATTATCATCTTTTTGTTGATATATTTGTGCGGAAATGCACTTAGAAGTTTTAATGGATCGTAAACAGCTTTTGAAGTTGTGTGTTAAGGTAAATTTAGCATAATTGCAATGCTGTTTTCAGCCTCGGTTAGGATGCATAACTCGCCTATTGTGAATTATAAATTTGTTGGTTTGGACCAACACCACTAGAGCTGTACATGAAAATTATATTTTGAGTTTCTGCATTCCCGTATAACTAACTAACTAGCCATTGATACTTGGAGTATCTAACAAAATGATCATGTACTATATTTGTATAACAAGAAGCGTAACTTGTAATGTACCATTGCATATATGTAATGTAATTTTTTTTTTATCAGGTAATAGGATATCTCGCGGCAAGGCACATATGCAAAAAAACATTATGTTTATTGTACATTATAGGAAGCGAAATTCTTGCATGTTTCACGGCCTGCATGTTCTTGAGCTTGTCTGTAAGCTGACCTCTAACAATCTTTTTATGGGTAATGTTTTTGGATAAATGTTTCACTTATAACCTCCGTAAAAGTCTTCATAGACCCCGAGCGCCTTTAGTCTGTAACGGGTAAGGCTTTGTTTCATCACAAAGACAGCTGTCTGCTAATACCCATTCATTATTCCATCAGCTGAGCGAGGTTTATTTTGGTTATGAATCGTTTGAAAAGCATATCGAGAACGTTTAAAAATCTTGTAGTTTCACTAAAATCTTCAAGTAATTCAAATAGTTGGTGAAGAAATAAAAGCAACGTACGTATATATAAATATACCACTTCGAAACCACAATCAAATCAAGAACTTAAGTCTATCGTTGATCGACAAATCAGATAGATCTTATGACCTTGTTTGACCTCTATGCCACCATATGCGCCGACCCATGAAACAGCAGTGCTAGGTATCGTATGCATCGTTACCCTAATCTGTGTTGTTGACACAAAATAACCGTTTGAACATTTGTTCACCTATTTGAGGGAAGAAATGTACCACTCAGATTATACACAAGCTATGATCATAAAATGGTGTGTTTTTTTCTCATTCATATAATATTGTGCAACTAGAACTACCGGTGGCTTCAGAATGATTTCCAAATTCAATTATGTGTTCATGACATTTTTATACACGCTTTCCCCTTTGTTCACCCTGAAGAAGGTTCAGTACATGCATCCACATATATATAAGGAGATATCCTTTTTGTGAAGACTGCAATCTTTTCGGTTCTTCGTAGCTTATGGT